TAATCACAGGAGCGGCTTTACTGACGAGATGCACATGAAATTCGCATTCGATTTTTTGCACAGCCCTACTATCTATCTATCTATCTATCTATCTATCTATCTACTGCAGGCTATCTATGGGCCTACTGAACACCCTCCATATTATGCATTAGAACTGACTGTAATAAACCCATGAATGTCTAGAAGTCTTTGATAAGTTTGATCAGGCCTTTTTTTTACATAAACCATATTTGATATTCTATTATTCGTTAGTGTCAGTAGGAGAATTCTCCAGAGACAACAGATGGTGTGTGTGTGTGTGTGTGTGTGTGTGTGTGTGTGTGTGTGTGCATGTTTTTCTATGCGGGGATGGTTACAGAAGCTTATAAATTATACGGAATGAGTTTTTTTTTTAGATTGTAAAAATGCACAAAGTTTTCTGTGAGGGGAAGGTTTAGGTGTAGGGTTGGTGTAGGGTGATACAAAATATACCGTTTGTACCGTATAAAAACCATTACACCTATGGGGAGTCCCCACAAGGATACTGAACAAGACGTGTGTGTGTGTGTGTGTTTTGAAACTTTGCATGCTGAATGGACAGGGAGAGTAAGGGTTTAAATGTGAAAGAGGACATGCACACCTGGAAGCAGAAGGACAGAATGAGATGAAGCAGAGCTCTGTACCCCTATATCATCCCTTTGCAAGAATGTAAACTTTGTTTTGAGGAAAGTGGGAGATCAGTCTGTAGTCTGTCACCCCCATCCTACAACTTTCCATCCTCTCAGCCCATAACCCCTAACCCTTTGATCTTCTGCCTGTGCACACTTGCCTTTTAACATAACCAGTCATGTTTTGCAGTCAAGACATCTACAAATGAGTAGCAGTTTTCAGACTCACTTTATTTGCCACTGCGGAGACACAGTTAAATGTGCCTTGGTTTTTGGGCTATAGGCTCTTATCCTTCTTATATATTTGTATATACACTCCAGCTAATGTGTATTTTACATTATATCAGCTTTGAAGGTATTTCAACAAAATGGGTCCAATAAAGTCCAATTAACTGACATAAAGTTATGTTAAAGTAGCGTGTATTATAGTCTTACTCATACAACTGCCTGCTGTTGCTTCTGATGGCTTTTAGATGGAAAAGCTGCCCATAACCCCTGGTCTAGGATCTGTTTTCTTCGTAATAATAGCATAAAAAAATAGATTTGGCAAACAATCCAGTGTATCTGCCCTTCTGCTTTGGAAAGCCTCAAATGATTTTACAATGCATTTTCGCAGAGGTGAGCAATGTAGCCAATCACAGACATGTTTGTTGATTTCTAAAACGCAATGGCCAATCAGAGGTGTTTAGGTTGGAATCCACGCACTCGCCGCTCCAGTGACCGTTTTTTGTCCAGTGCTGCCTTCTATCATGCTCGTAACTTCTTTCTAACAAAGACATTTAAAGGGGTCATAATGATGAAAAATTTCAATTTTTCCTTTCTCTTTGGAGTGTTACAAGCTCTTGGTGCATATGTAAAGGATTCTCAGTATTAGTTTTTAGCATTGTGTGAAATTCTGCATATAACTTGTAAAATATGCTGCTAGGTGGAATAAAAAAAATAGTATTAATTAAATTATCTAAAATATTGATATATGTAATTTGTTGCGTAGCCTAAAATTACGTGAGTTAGAAAGCAGTGTATGCAGTCGTAAATTTCCTAAACTTGTTTATTGTTTATTTCTCAATGTGAAACAAATGTGGTTTGGAAAAAAAGGATTGCACAATGGTAATGAAGGAGCCAGGTTGAAATTCAGCAGGCCTGTGGTGGATGTCTAGATGGGGGAGGTTGACGAAACGCAGGGGCGTGACGCCTCACTTTGCAGTTTGCAGCAGCGCTCACTCGCCTACGGGAGAATGGGAGAGAGACACAGAAGGGGAGGGAGGAGGACCTTGAAGGAAAAAAGTTACAATAAAAATGGCTTCCTTATCTTTGGTGTCCACAGAACAAACTGAGAACGACCCAAAGGAGTTCACGCAAGATGAAGCCAAAGTGAAAGAGGAGACGGATCCGGACGAAGTTTCGGAACAACTGCTCCAAAGCTTCCAGAACTCGGCGCTCAGTTTTTCCACCGATCAAGTCGCGTGTCTCTGCGAAGCGCTCCTGCAAGCGGGCAATGTGGATCGCCTGTGGAGATTCCTCTCCACCATCCCTCCTTCGGCCGATCTGCTACGTGGCAACGAGACCCTACTGAAGGCCCAGGCTCTGGTCGCTTTCCACCGGGAGGAATTCAATGAGTTGTACGCCATCCTGGACAGTCATGACTTCCACCCGAGTAACCATGGGTTCCTGCAAGACCTCTACTTGAAGGCGCGCTACAAGGAGGCTGAGAGGTCCCGGGGTCGCAGTCTAGGCGCGGTGGACAAATATCGACTGCGCAAAAAGTTTCCTTTGCCCAAAACCATTTGGGACGGAGAGGAGACGGTGTACTGCTTCAAGGAGAAGTCGCGCAACGCTCTAAAGGAATGTTACAAGATCAACAGGTATCCCACTCCGGTCGAGAAGAAGAATTTAGCCAAAGTCACCGGACTTTCTTTGACTCAAGTCAGCAACTGGTTCAAGAATCGCAGACAGAGGGACCGGACTCCGTCCGGTACCAACAGCAAGAGGTAAGTGCATTGTTTTTTGATCAAGTAACAGTTATATGAACGTTGATTTCTCTCAGGCCCGTGAGAAACATTCTTGAGACAAGAGCAGTAAACAGACCGCTATTGTGTGCGAGGTTACACTAGAACGAGGGTGTAAACTAAAAAACTTGACATCTGAACAGATTGCCCGGTCTGACGGATGTTGTTACATTCTCATTTTACTGTAATTACTCTTCATAAAGGCCTAGTGTGCAACAGATGATAGATTGTTGTATTTAATAAACCCTTGAACATACTAGGAAACTTTTTTTTTTGTTAGTTTGAACACAGATACAGATGTGAAAAAATGTAATATGTGGTAAAAAATTTCCTTGCATTATAATTGTGTCTGACCAGTGAAAATGACAAGGAGGTCTTCTAAAATAAGACTGAAAGCATGTTGCTTTGTTGTGAAATGTGAGATAGGGGCGCCAGGAGTGGCTCATGTTTCCTGAACTACAATGTCTTTCTGTAGTTCATGGATAGTCTCAGGACAGAGAGGATATGGTTGAGAGAGAGAGAGAGGCTTCATTAAGATTTAAGTGTACTTACAGTGGTTCCACAAAGTACTTGGAGAGGTAAGCCACACTTAATCTAGGAATTTCTTCCTATAAGAATTTCTTTGCGTTAGAAAAATTTCAGACAGAGTGCAGTAGTTTCTTTGCATTCTTGTTGTGTTTTCCCCCATTCAATTTAATGAACTTAATACATTTTAAAACTGTTTTTTTTCCCTTCAGTGCAACTTGAATTGGCTGCCCTCATAAAAAATAATTGTAGTCACATTTTGTGAGGAATATACTGTTTAGGCAAATGTTGTTAAACTTATCTACACTATTTAAAAAAATATATGTTCATACTACTATCACAAATTATTTGGAAAGATTTAATCAAAAAGAATTACTTTACATGCTTCGATTTGTTCCATGAAGCATGAAGAAATGGAGGCAAAATATCTGAATGTTATTATTATGTCAGTTATGCTTATTCACTACTAAAATCACATGTTGTGCATATGCCTATTCTGTGTATTTTCATCAGCAAGATATGATAGAATGCAAAAATACAATTCAGTTTTCTAGTTTATATGATTATTGATCTAAAATACATTTCTAAAACATTCTGCTTCAGATGTTAGAACAACATTTATGGAGCTTATAATATGACAAAACTATTTGAATTTGTATTGTATAAATTTGAATTATTGACAAGTGGCATTTATCAAAACTGAGTATTATGTGGCATTTAACATAGTTCTGAATTAGATTTTTTTTAACTTGAATATTGAACATTTGAAATTTAACACAACTGATTTTTTTATGGCAGACTTTTATAGACATGCATTTTCAAACAGCAAATTTTTTGTTCTAAATTCTTTGACTTGCAAATATCCAGTTTTTAAAAATACAGCTTCAAGTTTTCAAGATGAAGAGGAAATTCGGAACATCAAATTCAATATTCTAAAATTCAATACGCAGAAATTCAGATTGTACAGGAAGTAGGTCAGAGGTAATCCACAGGGAAGAGCAGATGATCTCGGAAAAGTCAAATGAAGCATTTTGGCCAATTAGTAGTTTTCTGGCGTTCAGATCAGGTTGATCTACCTGATCATGAATCGCCCAGAGGTATCCTAAGTGATTCTTAAACATTTATGTTTCATTTAAAATATAGGCCTAAGTTAGCGTTCTCAGCATGTGATATTTGTCCAAGCCAGTGGTTCTCAACCTTTTTTACTCCAAGGCCCCCCTCCTCGCCAAATCAATACATACTTTGCAAAAATTTCACTGCAGATATTCTTTACAACTTAAAAGTACGTAAACCTCAATTATACAGTAATTTTAACAAATAAGCACAAATCAACCTGCCATACCAAACAAGACCACAGGGAGAGCTAAAGGAATACAATCACGGATCCATGCAGAATAACTAATCACAACAAAATACAAATGAAAAATGAAACCATTCTGAATGTGTTGAGACTCAGAGATCATAAGGCGGGTTGATGTCATCAGTGAATAGTTCCTCTGTCACAATAAGCTAATTTGAAGCGTTTGATGCCCATATGTACATAAACACCACTGATCCTCAAATATTTCTTCTAAACACGCTTCTTCGACGAGTATCCGTTATAAAAAACTTGCTGTACATTAATTTGAACAACTTGACATAAAGAACTGTGTTCAAGCAGTATATGATGTTATAGTGATCTGTGCGCCATGAGCGCACATACATACACGGTTTGCTCATCAATAATACACTGAACAAAATTATAAACGCAACACTATTGTTTTTGCCCCCATTTTTCATGAGCTGAACTCAAAGATCTAAGACTTTTTCTATGTACACAAAAGGCCTATTTCTCTCAAATATTGTTCACAAATCTGTCTAAATCTGTGTTAGTGAGCACTTCTCCTTTGCCGAGATAATCCATCCACCTCACAGGTGTGGCATATCAAGATGCTGATTAGACAGCATGATTATTGCACAGGTGTGCCTTAGGCTGGCCACAATAAAAGGCCACTCTAAAATGTGCAGTTTTACTGTATTGGGGGGTCCGGGGGGGTCCGAAAACTAGTCAGTATCTGGTGTGACCACCATTTGCCTCACACAGTGCAACTCCTTCGCATAGAGTTGATCAGGTTATTGATTGTGGCCTGTGGAATGTTGGTCCACTCCTCTTCAATGGCTGTGTGAAGTTGCTGGATATTGGCAGGAACTGGAACACCTTTTTAAGTGGGAGAACTTGCACAATTGGTGGCTGACTAAATACTTTTTTGCCCCACTGTATATGTTCATGCAGCGGTCGGGTGTTTTGAGTCGCCGTTCAGTCTGTATTTCACACAGCTCGATGAGAAACGGCTTCAGCTGCTCCAAAACATTTATGATGCTTACACCATGTCTAGACCGGACGAGAGCAGTGAGATGCGTCGCGACAAAAGACAACAGAACCTTATTATAATCAATACTGTCTACACTGAATGCGAAATTCCCAACAGCAAACTGACTCCCCATTCTATTTCTGACGTAATGGTGTTGCGCCGTGCCACATTCAGTGTAGGAAATATCACTGATTATAATCAATGGGCTCTACTGTCTTTTTTGCTATCGCTCGCATCCGTGTTTAGACACGGTGGCATGCTAATCACTTTCACACCAAATATACTTTAAAACAAACTGAAAACAAAAAAAATGTTTTACATGCTAAGAACGCTAACCTAACATATAGGCCTAAATATAAACCATACATGTTTAAGAATCACTTAGGATACCTCTGGGCGATTCATGATCAGGTAGATCAACCTGATCTTCTACTTCTTTTAATTTTATTGGCGGTTGGCAAACCAACTTAAAGGTGCATTTACCGCCACCTACTGGACTGGAGTGTCAACCTGATCTGAACGCCAGAAAACTACTAATAGGCCAAAATGCTTTGTTTGACTTTTCAGAGTTCATCTGCTCTTCCCTGTGGATTACCTCTGACCTACTTTCTGTATGATCTTAATTTCTGCATATTGAATTTTAGAATATTGAATTTGATGTTCCGAATTTCCTCTTCATCTTGAAAACATGAAGCTGTATTTTTAAAAACGGGATATTTGCAATCAAAGAATTCAGAACAAAAAAATTGCTGTTTGAAAATGCATGTCTATAAAACTCTGCTATAAAAAAATTCAGTTGTGTTAAATTTCAAATGTTCAATATTCAAGTTAAAATGAAATAAAATTCAGAACTATGTTAAATGCCACATAATATTCAGTTTTGATAAATGCCACTTGTCAATAATTCAAATTTATACAATACAAATTCAAATAGTTTTGTCATAATATAAGCTCCATAAACATTCAGCAGCCGTTGTATGTATATATGTGAATCCACTCTTTTTATTCTGTCATTTGCTCATTGCAGCACTTAAACATGGTGACTGGTGCACGTGTTGATTTTAAAAATGAATGAATCTTAATGCCTGCAACTACTCTGAGCATGTCTTATAAGTGCACACATAGAAGAGTGTCAGTGACCATGCAGTGCAAGTTGGCTGGTTTCTGTTGAACCACAAGCTTCACTGAGTCTGGTTTGTACAGCTGTCAAAAAAGTTTTGAATGATTGGTAATTAATGGATGGTAGACATTCATGGAAACTACATCTAGACCATTTGACCAAATGTAATGTTTCTGTCTTTTCTTTAGTGAATCTGATGGAAACCACAGCACAGAAGATGAAGCCAGCAAGGGAGATCTGGAGGATATTGCTGACAAACCTTCTGCACAAGAGACAGGCAGCTCCAATGCTTCCCTTATATCTTACTCTGGTGCTCCTTGCAGTACTGGTCAGATTATTCTCAACAGCACCGGGGGATTCCTTACAAGCTCTCATCCACTGCTGCTCAATGGGAGCCCTATACTCTCGGGGGCAGGAACGGGGGTCATCATCAATGGGTTGACACTGAGCGATGGCCACACAGTCACTCTCAGTCCTGTTACAGCTAATGCACCATTGCTACTAAACGGGGCTCAAGTAATCTCCAAAGATGAACGGGGCATCAATGATATAGAGGCCCAAGGCAGCCTGCCCACTGTGGTTCTGAATCCACAAGCCAGTTTAACTAGCACAATACCTCTCTCGCTTAGTGAGTACGCAAAAACAGCCAGCAGCAACGTCTTTCCTTTGGATTTCATCAGTCTTCCAGAGGCCTTGAAGAATCCAGATAACACTCAGTCACTGCCTACAAACTTAATGTCCTCGCCCACCATGTCTACTTCTGTCATCTCCAGTCCCATGGTGCCACTACAGCCCACACAGCCACCTGAAATTGTTGTATTAGGAAAAGCCAAGTCTCAGTCACCAACTCGCAGCTCCTTCTCTAGTCCTCAGGTGCTGTCTTTACCCCAGGTGGTACCATCAATACAGGGCGTTCCAGTTTCTCAACTGATGCAGCATCCATCTGGGGCCACAGTGTCATCTTGCCCCCAGCTTGTTCCAGTCTCCCCACTGAATTCACAGTTACACCAAGTCACCATTCCTCAATTTCAGACACAGACCTTGCACATTGGTCCAAGACTTGTGCAAACACAGCCCCAAAATGGCTTGACCACACTAAGCACCAGTAGTGCTTTATCACTCCCCCAGATGGCTGATGGACAAGTTACACAAGTGCTTACACCTCAGCTAGGAGACGAATCTACTTCAGCCACCCTTCCACAGATACAGACCTCCATTGGAACACAAGTCATAACCATCTCCTCCCCGACTCAAGTTGTGCCCATATCCCAAACCAAAGACTCAAGCCAACCTCAGCTGTTCCCCCTGTCACTGCCTCAACTTATGCCTGTGTCATCCGTTGCGGGAACTCCAACTGGAACCCTGTCCTTCCCTCAGGTGGTCCCAGCAACTCCATCTCTTTCCATTCCGTCCCATGGAGGTGCTTTCCAAATTCTGACGTCTGGATCTGGAACAGGATTGAGTGTTGCCCAGGGACCAATATGCCTTAGCCCAATAGGTCCTCCTCAGAGTGTCCGTACTGGTACCATCCCAGGTGTTCAGTTTCTCAACTCTGGGGTGATTCAGCTACCTACTTCCTCTCCAGGTAGGTCACAAAAATAATTTCTCTAGCAGTGGAAAACAGTTGTTTGTTTTGTTCTGAAATCAGATGTATTTATTCTGTTTTTGTATCCAGGCAACATCCTACTTGCAGGTGGCATTGGGGGCAGCCCCATCCTAAGTGTTCAAAATGGCAAACTCATCCTCACTATCCCAGCTGGCATCCAGTTCGCCAGCATGCCTGTCAAGTCCGTCCCAGACAATTTGGTCTCAAGCAACAGTGCCCTTGATCCTCAATCCTCCGCTGTACATCCACTTGAGAATCAACCAGCACCTTCACTCACTGCTCAAACCTCAAATTCACTACAATCATCTCCTTTGGGGTTTGTTGGCTCCTCTACACTTTACTGCAGCCCTGAGCCAGGGACAATTGCAAACCCAACCCCAGGAGCCTCTCCTAACACCCCAGACTCTTCCAGCACTCCCAATCCTGCAAGTGTCCTACAATCCCAGCAGACCCTTAGCCCTGATAGCATGCTACCACTCAGTCCAATATGTAGCGGTGTGGCAACTGGCCCCCACCTCTCCCAACTAGTCTGGAGCCCTGTCCCGCTGTCCTCCTCTGCTGGTCTGACATTATTTGACATGCGTGGGAAAGGAGATCTTCCAGAGGACCCTGCTTTGTTGGGCTTGCCAGGCGGAGAGTCCCTCCTGTTGGGCACTCCTCCTCCAGGCGAAGATGTGGAGAGAGATTCTCAGCTGGATGAGGTGGAGGACATGGATGGGGACTCGAAAATTCTTACACAACTACAGTCTGTCCCTGTGGATGATGATCTGGGTTTGTAATCGCCAGTCCTTTTGACAACCTACTAGATGCAGTTAGTGTTAAATCTCAACCTGCAAGAGTTGCATTCGACCATGTCCCAGAAGTGAGAGGAACTATGATTTATGACCTCAGAGGTTTGGCATCTTTCCCCACTCTTCCTTGTGTAGATGGAGTTTTAAATAGTGGAAGTATTCAACCTAATAATGGAGTTGTAGAAAAGAACCTCTCTTTTATATATGGAATTCAGTTGAGAAAACTACATATTCAGCAAGGTCATGACTATAGAGGTTGAAAGGCACTGCCATTTTGTCACAGAGAATATTTGTATAACCAATATTCACCTCTAGGAATCTAAGGTTGTATCTACATGGTTTTTGATGAAACACAGAGCTTGAGGCATGTTACAAGGGCTTACATGACTCCTTAAGTGGCAAAAAGACACTAATATGTCGGAGGCAATCAAGATTATTTTTTTCTGGGAGTGAAGAGCATGTGGGAATGCCTTCTTTTGTGCCTTACATTTTTGTTACTTTTCAGTTTTATAGATTAAATGACTCTTGACAAGTACTTTTATCTTTAAAGAAGAGAAACAAGTCATATTAGGTTTCCCTCCTAGAGACAATATAATAGAGGTACATGTTTATGCTGATCACAAAACTGGTGTCTTGGGGTGAAATGGGTCAGCTCAATCTAACTATGAAATGAGTCTGAACACGAGCTATACGCACTGGGAGCATTTTGTGAGACAGCCTGTACAGGTGGCTCATAAAGATACCTAGATGCACCAACAGCACCCTGCGCTGGGAGAAGGAAATCCGATAGAAGATTTCAGTGAACTCACAACACTGGGTGGAAAATAAGACTTGGTTGACAAACTAACCTTTAAATGTGCCTGTGACAACTACATTGGATATAATGCATCCTCACTGCTCAGTCTAGGTGCTGTTTTAATTGTATTTTGCTTTAACATTCAATTGGCTTAAGTGTCTTTTATAGGTGAGTAGATGTGTCAGATTTGTAAATGGCAAGATGCTTGGGTTTTGAACATTATACTTTGTACACACAGTGAAGCACTCTATTTGTGTTCTTTTATATTCCATGTATACAGTATCTTGCAGCGTAAATTTATGATGGCACACTAAACTGACCATGGATATCCTATATTTTGTAGTATGATAGATAATTGACATTGGTTTTCATAGATAAACCATTGAGCTTACCCAAGCATTCCAGCTCATTACCATAAAACTGTGTATAAACCTAACAGACTTGAGTGTTTGAAGGGAATTGAAGTACTGAATATTTGTCTATGCAACTGTTCCACATGAACCCTGAGATTTGTTTACTGTTAAAAACAGCCGCTTCTTACACTACAGATCCATCATGTACATATACAGTGAAATGTTTTGTTTTTATCCTGTTTATCTTGTCTTTTTACATTTCAAAATCAAATGTTTTAATTGTAGAATTTCCTCATAGCTCCAGGAAACGTCTAAATTCTTATCAAATGCAATTTGGTCTAGGTGATTCAAAGCTACAAGTATGTCTTTTTCAACACAGGTCATTATCACCACCAGACTGATTTGCTTATTGCAGAGCACAGCTCTGTATATTTTGCACATTTTATTGTTTTTATTCACGGAGCATTTACATTATTTTATGGCCCCACAAAATTTGGTGCTATTTTTATACCATTCAACTGTACAATAAGGCTTTTGTGGAATATTTGGCCTGTGAGATTTTGACTGGTGCACAGTAGTCACCCTTTGTTAACTCTAGCCTTAAGTATACTTGTCTCTTTTTTTTTTAAACAATATTTAATGCATTTATCAATCATTTTGGGGTCAATCAACCTTAAAGCTCTTTCCCTAATTCTAGCTTAGGTTTACACTCCATTTTTTTGCTTTTGCAATGTGTAGCGTCGTCTTTGATTTTTATTTTTTTTTTAATGAAAGTGTTTGTATTTTACATATTTGTGTTACATAGGACTTGTAACATACATTTTTCTTTTTCTTCTTTCAAGCACCTGGACAATGTTTGAACTTTTTTGGAATGTAAGGGAATGCGTGCGTGTGTGTGTGTTTTTCCCTGAGTATTGATATTACTCCAGAATGTAATGATTACTATGCTAATGCACATGTATTTTAGTCAGTGGAGTTATATTTGTTCTGTTCACTTTTTTAATACTTTCACTTCACTTTCATGTACAAACAGAAAAAAATATGCAGCTGATCAAACCAAAGAGATTCTCCCCCCCCCCCCCCCCCCCCGCCTATGCTCTCCGATTACCTGCATGTACCAAGTTGTCTGGGCGGGTCTTTGTGGCTGGAGTAGGTAAAACCTGCTAAAACAAAAAAGCTGATACACTCGTCGACTGAACTTATTGGCTAGCACGTCACTGGAGAGCAAAAAGGCTATTGTGAGATCCCCTTTACCTGAGAGTTTCTACATTCCATTCAAATCAGAAGGTACTTTGGTTTTGCACACTAATGCAGGTTTCGGTCTTCTTGTGAAACTTGCTGTCTTGTGGATTCAATTAATGGCTTTGAAACAGATCTCAGTTGTCCTCTGGATCCCTTGAGTGGACTACGTGGTTGGACGATTTACAACTTGTTTTGCAGACCAATTCCTTGTCATCCCTTGTGGGACCTTCCACCATCCTTGTTCCGATCATGGCGATGGGCTTCTCCCCAGAACAGGTGGCGTGTGTTTGTGAGGTTCTTCTCCAGAGTGGAAGCATGGATCGCTTGTCCTCATTCTTATGCTCTTTACCTTCCATTTCCTCTTCATCCAATGTGTATCTGGGAATGGCCCACAGTCAAGAGAGCGTGCTGAAAGCGCGGGCTGCGGTCGCCTTCCACCACTGTCGTTTTGCTGAGCTCTACGCCTTGTTAGAGGCTAACGTGTTCTCCCCGCGCAGTCACCCTCTCCTCCAGCAGCTCTGGCTCCAGGCATCCGAATTGCAGAGGGGCCGGCCCCTTGGGGCCGTGGGGAAGTACCGCATCCGCCGCAAATTCCCTCTTCCTCATACCATCTGGGATGGAGGGGAGACCAGCTACTGCTTCAAGGTGTTTAAATCTGTTGTAGTACATTAAGTCCTTGATGTAAATGGATCAATGAGCACTGATTTATCTGATTGTGTGTTAGTCTCAAAATAATCTTGATTCCTTTTGGGAGAGATTTCAAGAGCTTTCGGTTGCATCCTCTGCTCGCAGGAAAAGTCTCGCAGTGTATTGCGAGAGTGGTACTGCAGAAAGCCGTACCCCTCGCCGCGAGAGAAGTGAGATTTGGCTGCAGCCACTGGACTCACTGCTACACAAGTCAGCAACTGGTTCAAGAACCGTCGACAGCGGGACAGAGCTGCGACCAGCTGTCAGGGGTAAGAGACACTCCTTCACTCTACATGCACCAGGGGAACAACATATTAGATTCCCGCTGGAACACAATGAACAGTTTTCACTCGGACACTGCTAGTAAATTTCACTCACTACATGGAGGCTGAATTGCAGAGGGGCCGGCCCCTTGGGGCCGTGGGGAAGTACCGCATCCGCCGCAAATTCCCTCTTCCTCATACCATCTGGGATGGAGGGGAGACCAGCTACTGCTTCAAGGTGTTTAAATCTGTTGTAGTACATTAAGTCCTTGATGTAAATGGATCAATGAGCACTGATTTATCTGATTGTGTGTTAGTCTCAAAATAATCTTGATTCCTTTTGGGAGAGATTTCAAGAGCTTTCGGTTGCATCCTCTGCTCGCAGGAAAAGTCTCGCAGTGTATTGCGAGAGTGGTACTGCAGAAAGCCGTACCCCTCGCCGCGAGAGAAGTGAGATTTGGCTGCAGCCACTGGACTCACTGCTACACAAGTCAGCAACTGGTTCAAGAACCGTCGACAGCGGGACAGAGCTGCGACCAGCTGTCAGGGGTAAGAGACACTCCTTCACTCTACATGCACCAGGGGAACAACATATTAGATTCCCGCTGGAACACAATGAACAGTTTTCACTCGGACACTGCTAGTAAATTTCACAAATAATAAACGGCAAGTAACACATTGAGTCAAATGTGATATTTTGAAGTAGACTGATGCAGCATTTTCTTGTAAAACATACTCTAATTAATCTTTATTTACAGCTTTTTTTACTCATGTTTTTAAGCCCTATGAAATGTTTGGCTTTAGATATGTGGTTCTCAACCAGGGGGCTTCAGGATGACTTAAAATTATCTAAAAGAAGACAAAACAAGCATTAAATTGTTAACTAAAAATTAATATACTTGTTTTAACTGATCCCCTTGGACAACTGTTTTTTTTTTCTTCTTCTTCTAGGCCTGGGAAAGTCTTGTAAATTAATAAAATCTTATAGCTTCATAGGCATTTCTTATAATGATTATACATATTTCTATGCCAAACTCTAAAATATTTTACTAGAATTTTGAGTAAAAAAAATATTAAAAATCCTTATCCAAATGGTTGAGAACCACTGCTTTTGATGGTTAAAGAGCCTGTTAGAAATAAAAGCTGTCGTCTTTCATTGGCTCCATGCTGCCCTCTGCTGGATGTCACAAACCAAAAGAATTCAGAATGCATTTACATATTCATATTTGATCCCAGTATGGCATATTTCAGATTTTATATTCGAGTTATTCCTGTGTTCCAGCAGAACGTCAGCAGGAGCGTTCCTGAGCTCTGATGAGGAACTCTCACCACCGGCGAGTCCCAGCACACTCTTCTCCTGCTCCCAGCAGCTCTCTGCCCACCCGCCCCCTCTACGCCACCTGGGACCAGCACACTACTGAAATTGATACAGTGGAATACAGGTCATAAAACAATGTTTTGCAGTTTACTGGTGCAACATAATTGAAATAGATGTCTTTATAAGTCACAGCTGTGAGCCCTAGATTGTGAACAGCATAAAAGAGAGTCAGGGGAATAGGCCAATGCTTCTTTTTTTTTAGCCTTCTGTGCAGTTGTGTTTTCTGACGTGAGGTTGTTTGACAGCGTGGCAGAAGTTAGCAAAATGGCTGAAATCACTTACAGCACCTTTAACAAAGTCAGTCTTGAGCTCTGTAAAACAAAACTGAGCATCAGTTCAGCTGGCAGCAAATGCCATTGAATTGTTTTTCCTTTTTGTAATTTTGTTTAGTTTGTAGTGCACCCTAACGTCGGTGTTTCAGTGCATACTGTATTTCAGTAAAGCAAGTTTATTCCACTTGTGCAACTAGCAATAGTTTGAATTGAAAATGCCAAAGTATCTTCCCTTTTTTTTTCCATAATTTGTGACTGCTCATAATGCTGCATCTTCTTCCATTGCTATAACGGAGTCACATCCTCTCTTTGTATGTCTTGTTTTTTTCCAGCATGAAATTAAAATTCACCCTACCTGTTTTCTAATTGCATGTTATTGATCTTATTGTGAATAATTTATCCATGCATGTTTCATTTTGTAAAAAAGTGACGTAATTTTTAATCGAAATGTCATAACTCCATCTCCATCTGGTGTGCGCCGAACTCTTCCAATTATTTTGTTCTCATAAACCCCATCCTTTATCACAATTGATTGAAACTACTTTTTTTCTTTTTCGGTAATCTGTTTCACTTGGACATGCATCACAATACAGTAGAAAAGACAGACCTCTACTTCCATTTCACCATGACTTAAAAAAAAAAAAAAAAAAAAGATAATTTTTGCAGCCCCAAAGAGTAACATATCAATACAGCAGCAGACTTTAATTTGCTGTAACTCAACACAGGATCAATCTTAGTGTTCTATACTTCAACAAAATTAAAAGACACTCAAATCCAGAGTTTCCTTAAGTTTATTATGAATATCCATTAGACCCTTGACATGGTCTTTTGGTTCATAATGGTAACGGCTCAATGACTGAGGAACGTAAAAAAAAAAAAAAAAGATCTATCTCTCTCAGGTCACATGAAAGATGCATTTAAAATACAGTTCATCAGCAAATACTGTGCAAATTATGGATAATGAACTAGCTGAATGTAATTAAATATACTTCACTCCGAGTTCCACTGAATGACATGAAACGAGTCTTTTACCACAAAATTAACAGTCTCTTTAAGGATGACATTAGGGCTCCTACAGCTGCCGTAACGTTTGTCCTATTATGACATATGGCTCTTTTCAGCAGAAAAATATTTGAATATCTTCAGCAAGTACCATTCACATTCCAAATAAACATCATTATGCTGTGTGTCTCTTTGGTTATTCTGATCTATGGCTCTATTATTATTATTATCAGCTCCTACATCACACATTCAACTGCACTGAACACATGGTCATGTGCTGTGATCGTCTGCTGTAGGATGATCATCATAGCATGTTTAGAGGCTCAGGTACTCGGCCACGAAGATGGCCAGGATTCTAGTTAGGTTTTCCACCGTGGGCCTGTGCATCCTCTCCTCCGCATCATCCAGTGTGTGCCAGAACACAGGAAATGGTGTGGGGATCAAGTGAAGCACAGGTACGCCTGGTTCAGAAGTATGAACAAAACCAATTCAACTTGTTTGATCCATTTGCTTTACGTTGTTTGCACAACAAAAGCAAACACAACCGTGATCTGTGCATCACTTGTATTTTAAATAGGCTGCACTACCATTCAAAAGATTGGGGTTGGAAAGATTTTTATAACGTTATAATTTTGATCAAAATACAGTAAAAACATGGATATTGTGAAATATGATTACAATTGAAAATAACCGTTTCTTTTTTATTTGAATATATTCTAAAATGTAATTTATAGCTGTGATGGCAAAGCTGAATTTTCAGCATCATTACTCCAGTCGTCAGGGGCACATGATCTTTCAGAAATCATTCTAATATGCTGATTTGGTGCTCAAGAAATATTTCTTCTTATTATCAATGTTGAAAATAGTTGTGCTTCCTAATATTTTTGTGGAAACCATGTTAATTTTTTTACAGGCTTCTCTGATGAATAAAAAGTAAAAAAGAACAGCATTTTTACATGAAAAAAATGTTTTAAAAAAACATGAAAAATAGTTTTTGTGTTAATGTGTTTAAAACAAAACTTCTGAATAGTAGCATATGTTGTCTGACTGTTTACTGACCTCTGTTTAAAAATGGAATGTGGTCATCCTGCACGGGACCAAGATAAAAATCTTTCCTGAAGTAACTCTGTTCTGATGGGTGAGATGTCAACAAACCCTGTTTGTGGAGCCGCTTCTCTGAAAAAGAAACAGAGAGGGATTCTGGCTGTAAACGTCATGCATTTTTAGGCTGCAACCCAATCTGGGTTGTTTTGAACTTATACCTGCAGTGATCAGTCGGTCAAACCATCTGGCTGTGTTATCAAAGTGATTGACAATCAATGGTTCTGGGCCACCAAGCAGGTCCAGCAGGACTAACAGATCCTGGAAGGAAAATAGAGTTTCAACATTAAAATAACAGGGTATTCACATCTCATTAAAAATATAAAAATAAAAAAGGTAATAAATCTATTTACCCGTGAATATTTTTTTGTATTAACTTTTCCGTCTTCAGGTCTAGTGTGACACAATTAATTAAAATAAAATTTAAATCTAAATTTAATTTCTACTTTAAGGTAAAACATAAAAAAAGGATTTAAATAAAGTAATACAATTAAATAAAATGTAATAATAAAAGTATCATTAATAAAATATTATAAAAAATATAAATTCATGTTTAAATATAATTCTAATCAATTTATAAATCAGTTTAGCAAGGTATTTCTTGTTTGTTTTAACATATCCCTCCTCAGGTCTAGGATGATTAATAAAAATCCAATTTAAATAAAAATCTATTACTACTTTAAGGTAAAACATATAAAAAAGAATTTAAATAAAATAATACAATTAAATAAAATGTTATAATAAAAGTATTATTAATAAAATATAAAATAATGTTTAAATGTAATTTTAATAAATTATAAAATAGTTTACCAAGGTATTTCTTGTTGTTTTAACATTTCCCTCCTCAGGTCTAGGATGATTAATAAAAAAAAATATATATATATATTATTACTGTAAGATTACTATTATACTGTAAAGTAATACTAATAATAAAAACAATAATAATAAAATACAGTTAAATAAAGTCAAATATCAGATTTTTTTTACTTTCATTAAAAACATTTTTATACTGTGTTTTTGTTTTTTTTCTATACAGGGTGTTTTTGTGTATAAACCACCAATGAATTCATGTTTTTATTTGTTGTATATGTATGAATGCAATTCATTTTGTAGCTGATGTGATGATTGAACCTGTATTGAATGACGAATCAAAGTTACGAGGAGGTCTTCAAATATTTGAAACGTCTTGAAAAGGGTATTACAAAGTATTAAATCTGACATGCTGATACCTGCAGATACCCTGAACTCAAAACCTCTCATCCATAAACATTCTTTACCATTAATCACACAGCAAAATATATGAAAAAACAAAGACAGACTGATCTAAGTACACACAACCTCACCACTGCCTGGAGAAGAGTGGTTTTGGTGGATCCAGAAGGGTGGGGAGTACGGGTCATAAGTTCAGCCAGATGACGAGAACCGTAGAGAGAGTCTGTTTCTGTCCATTCCTCAAATGCCTCCTCTCCATCAAAAAACACCAACTGCAATGTAACAGCAGACCTCTGGAGAGAAAGGCAGACAGAGAGGATGCAGGTAATCTGTTATTCTCTCTCGGACTCATAATGATGTACACACACTTTAGGCTTGATTCAGCACTGTGATGCAGCTGATTCTTGTTAAATATGTCTTCACCCTTTTCCTCATGATTGTGATTTACCTGCAGTTTTAGAGCTTTAAGCTGTGTGTCCAGAGCAGTGGCCAGCTCCAAGATCATAGCACAGGGTATGGCTGAATCACTGGCACCCACAAACACCCGCTTGGGGGTTTTAGGGTCTGCGGGTAAGATCTTGGAGTCATGGTGGCATGCTAGGAGCAGCCTGCGAGGAGCCGAGGGGTCCAGAACTGCTAGCACATTGGTGAAGGTCACTTTACCCTGCGGGGTGGATGAAACGAAGGAATTCTCTTCCAGTGTCCATCCTGCTGACAGTGAATCCAGCTGGGACAAGATATGCTGTAGTTGGAAGAGGTGAGAGAATTTGACTGACCTTCACTGCATGTTTATCAGAAAAAGATATTTAAAGGGGTCCTATTATGCTTTTTCACTTTTTCAACTTTAGTTAGTCTGTAATGTTGCTGTTTGAGC